GAGTCCAAGAATGTGAGAGAACCTGCTCGAAACGGTAGGGGTAGATAGTCATGTCGCTCATTTTCCAAATGGCCAGAGCCGCTTCTTTGAGGAGCCGTCCCTGTTTGCAGAATGCTTGGATTTCTTTTCATCTCCACTCAAATCTAGCCAAGTTTCGTACTCGAATTTGTCTTGATTTCGCTTCGAGTCTTTGGCACTTCGGCTCTTGGAGCTAGATTGCTTCGTGGGTTCTGCAAGGGGCAAGGGGTGTGGAGGCCAAGAGGGAGCTGGTGCGTTCATAGCAGGTATTTGCTTGCTTCGTGAGGCCGATGGCGGGCTCTTTGAATCGTTTCGACGAACCAGCTCGCGTTGCCGAGGGCTAGGTCCATACTCTGCCGAATCAAAGCTCTCAACCGAGGCATCATCGTTGCTACGTATAGATGCTGATCGTGTGCTGTATATGGAAGCGGGACCAGAGCTTTGTTTCAATCCTTCGGGGGATTGCAGATGGTTGGGCGTCAAGGTACCGGCCTTGTTCATAACAGGTGCATTTCGTGCGCGACTAATTTCGCTTGTAGAGATTGGAGTAAATGAGGCAAGCGAGGAATTGGAATGTGAAGTGGAGTGGATGGTGAGGTTGGTCCTACTCGAGAGGGGGGAGGGGCCGAGTCCCGCCCGAGGTAACGCATGGACTTTCGGCTGTGGTGTAGTCGGAAAAAAGGGATCTGTATCGTCGACATCCTCATCGTCCTCTTGGTTCAGGGTTGGCATTGCCGTGGAGCGGGCTACCGCGGGTGCCTGATTAGTCACTTGGCTCCAATTCCGTGATCGTCGTGGCGAGGGACCAAAGGGAGTTTCGTCAATGGGCTCCAACGGAGAGATCGGTTTCAGTTCCGGTTTATCTTCAAGGAAGCGTCGTTGCTCTGGACTACGGTATCGAAGAGGAGAGGGTGGCTTGATTGGGGGTGGCGATCGTTGACCAACGCTTTCGCTGATGAATTTGTTGACTGGAGCAGGCGACCTCTGACTCTCC